TTGCACCCATACGTTCAAACAATTTCCTTAGGTAAAGCGGTGAGAGCAACCCCAGCTGCAATTGAGATGGTATTCCAGTAGGTTCATTTGTGGACTGCATGAATTTAGGGGAATCAATCAATTTCTATAGCTTGATAAAGAATAACCAAAGCACAAGGGTATCTTTGAAAAGATAGAAGAAAGAAGAGGAAAAATACCCTAGAGACATCAGCAAGCCATTCCCCACCAACACCAACAAAGGCTTGAATACCTTGAGCTAGTCTGTACAATATCCTCCAGCAGTTTTGGTAAGTTCTCAAGGCTACCTGATAGCCACATGAACACAAAACTATCAGTATCTAACAGCAAGAGAAAGATTATGCCAATAAAAGAATGATTAAACTATGTATTTAATCACCTAATTATTCTCATAGTTCCGCTTTGATTATCTAACTACTTTTTTAATCACACTTTAAAATTGTGTTTTTTGTTTCGTTCTAATCACTTACGGTTGAAAAATAAACAAAACTGTTAACCTAATTTTTTTAAAAAAAAATTAAAAATTTATCTCCTACAATTTTAGAAGTTCTACCGTAAGATAAAATCTTGTATCCGTTTCTAGATACCTTAACATTATTGTTACCTTTTTAACGATAAATTATCAAAATAAAATAAAAACCTAATTTAAATAAGTGATTTAATCTATAAGATTTTGCAGGTACAGGGCAGTGTCAAAAGGAAATCCAAATCAAAGAGAAAGATAAAGAAGAAGAGCTGTGATTAAAGAGTGTAAGAGAATGATGGGTGATTGAGTTAAGGAGCAGAAAAAAAGGAGAAAGAATGGGAACTTACTTTGGAGGCGAGAAGAGAAACGATCTTGTTGAGAAGATTGAGAGTATTGGGCAAAAAAAAGGAAGGCCCTGACCTTGGAGGTGGAATTGAAACACCCATTAAGCTTCTTAAAGGAAACAGAAGATCTTGGTGTGGAAGCTTTATTGGGCAGCTGAGGGTGATGAAACAAGGCTAAACGCCCGCTTCTAAATGATGTAACTGCCATTTTTGTTTTACAGAGAGAAGAAAGAGAGGATGAGTTTGGGTTATCAACAGACGGCACTTGTCTTGTTGTAGCGTTTCAAGATACAAAAAACATGACACAGCTGATACCACGTGCCATGCAGTTGGTGGCAACTAGACTTACGATTTTAATGGGAATGATTTCAGTATTGTTAAGCTCGACTCGACTCGAAAATTTTGAAATGAAGTTGGATTCGATTTGAAAACTCATGATCTTAAAAATTTCAAACTCGAATCGAACTCGAAATCCTGAACTGAAGCTCGTAAGCAGCTCGAAAAGGCTCGAAATGAAAAAAAAATCTTAAATTTAACTCTATTAAAACCTCAAACTTGAATCTGACCTTAAATACATAAAAATCTTACTGTATTTAAAAAAATCAATATATAAATATTAATATTATTAAAAATTTATTTTTAAAAATAAAATCTTAATATATTATTATTTTCGAGCTGCTCACGAGCTTTTCGAGTCTAATATCAAATAGCTCGTTTTGGCTCTTTAAGAACTCGAGTCGAGTTTGAACTCGAGTTGAATCCATTCGATCCGAGTATTTATCGAGTCGATCTCGAATAGCTTGTGATCTGTCTCGTTTCATTTACAATCCTAGAAATGAACGTTGATGAATCACGGTCCGCTTTCGGCAACTGCAAAATCACTCAGGTAGGACAGTAATTTTTTTTCTTAATACAAAAATAAATATTTAAATTATGTTTAAAAAAATGTTTGTGTCTAATGGATCTTTTACTACAAATAAATGTATAATATTTTTTTCAGTTATATTTTTAAGTGTTTATCGTTATTTGTTTTAAATTTTAATAATAAAAAAATTAGTTAAAAAAATTATTTATTTATAAAAAACTCAAATTTTTATTGAAATTATAAAAAAATTTATAAAACTAAAATTTCTTATTTCAACTCTATTACCAATTGTCATCTTCCATCATCATTGTCGTCGAACGGTTGAATTTTAATCGAAATTACACGGTGATTCGAATGGTGGTGGCGGTGTGGCTTATGGACGTCGGAATCGACGAAAAACAACGAGGATGACTTAAAATCCAACGAACATCTCCACGACAAACGGTGGTAGATTACGACGAAAGACTGACGAGTGTTTAATCGGGGGGGTCGATGTCGGTACTAATGACGGTGACGATAACGATCACAGCTGACTGACTGACGACTATGAAAGATAGAAGGAGAATGAGAGAGAGGAGGGAGCACGAGATGTTTGGTTTTTGGGTTTTTTTAAAAGTAAAAAATATTTTCATTTTTTTATTTTTTAAATAAATTATCAAAATTATCAAAACGTAATACGTGTCACTTAACGAATATTTTTAACAATAGTTAAGGTCAGATTACCTAAAAGTGAAACGTTTAAAGCATTAGATATATATTCTTAACGAAAAATTCTATAAGTATTAAAATATTTTTCGAGACATAATTTAATCATTTATTTTTGTATTAAACCTAATCTTTTTAATGTATTAGTATAAAAAGTTACAGTATCACTGGAAGAAGGTCAAATGATATATATCTTTTTAAAAAAATATAAGACAACACGGCATTGTTTTACGCAAAAGAAGTAATAGAAGGTGCATCGTGATTTTAACATCTTTTCCAATGTAATCTACAAAATATTACTTGAGAAAATAATTTCTGACAGATATTATTTTGTCAAATTTTCCTCTTCATAGACCGATCTTGTCGTCCAATTTAGGATTATAAAATAGATGGAGTAATAAATACACTTAACACGAATCAAATGATATTAGTAATTAAATGAAGCTTAAATCAGGATGATGACTTGAAAAAGGGCCAGTTTGATTGAAGTATAAACACAGATTAAAAAAAATTGATAATTTCTTTTGCTCCACGCAGTTGTAGTTTAACAGAAGTAATTGAAGATATATTTTTTTTTTCTGTTAATATCAAAGCAAGGGAGATTCCATTTTCATTTCAATTAATTTGTTGTACCACCTCAATAAGTCCGTGATTAAGGAGAGCAGAAATAATTCGTAAGTCATCGTGCATTCTCTTCTCTATCCTAATTTATTGCCTTCTTGCTCATGGAGCTCCTTTGGTTGCAACTTTTATTTCTCTTTGAATGACAAAAGATGGTTGCTAAACTGTTTTGCATTTTCAGTTCAATTTTTGACTGAATGAAGAATAATACTTTGATTCTTAGTTGTTGACTTTAGTAAATATTTCAGCTTCAATGATGAAGAACGGCCATGGAAAGAAGGAAGACTCTTCCAAGTTAGTTATCGGCCAGATGCTTTTATCATTTTGTGTTAAGTTGCAGGTTCTTATGGCGTATCACTCTTTACCAAAGAAAGATCCATAATGCAATAACTAAGGTTTTACTTGTATTTCTCTTGTAAGCTTATTGTGATACCGCCATACACGTAACGCTTTTACTTCCAAGTTCATTGGTACGTTTTGTATCGTTCGGAGGATTAGGTGCACGCTGTGCTGCATTCTTAATTGATGTCTTCTGTTGCCTGCTATATTATTAAACATTAGAGATTGGTTTCTTCCATTATGTGCATTTTAAGGCTAAAAGAAGGGTTATTTATTATGAGAATAATTGAATGCTTCATCCTATTAATTTTCTCAACGAGACTGCAGGACTGGAATACATCTGGGGTCTGTTTCATTCAATTCTTTTAAGGAGCATCGTAGTTCTTCTTTGGTTAGCTTCCTAGACATGTCAGTAAAATCTGTTTCATTCAATTCGAATTTTAATTTGATTTCGATATGCAATTTCTCGGTTCAAGTTTTCTCTATAAAATCCGTTTATTCTAAATCAAACCGAATTAGAAAAGACAAATATATTAATTTAAATCAAATTCATTTTGATGAGATAAATTTAAATAAATAAATTCTTAAAATTACCGATATTATTTTTTATGAATTTAAATTTATGTATTTGTATTCCGTTTAAACTTGAAACTTAGTTTTTTTTAGATGATGAATTTAAAAAATGATGAACAATTACAAAATCTTAAAATCGAATATAGCCCATCCACATCAAACCAATAGTTTTGGTTTTTTGTCATTTGATTTTGATTTCATATTTTATTAAAGGTACGGACCAAGTCAGTAGTAAAAGAATAATCGTTCCTCTATGTACTAAGTTCGACCACCAGAAATATCAAGAGTAGAAACGTTCAATGTCAAATGGTTGAGAGTTATCTTTGAACAAATATTGTCTTGTATTTACCGCAAGTTAATTAAAAAAAACTACATATATATTTTATTAAAAAACCGATTCCACCCCTAGTAAAATCGCTTACTGAGTGATGCATAATGAAGTATAAAACCACACAGCATCATTTACCTTGGATGGCTTGTTTGTTAGTAAACCGATCGTGTTAGTTCTTGTTTGTTAGTAACTTTCAGTTACATATATCTTGTTTATTTACACATCTGATCATAAACCAATTGGGTAACCACGCCCCTGTTTCAGCCACTCATTACATCCAAAACAGATAATATTTATAGTGACTAAATCAAGATAATATCATGCCTGCATCTATATTACTTGACCTCACTGTGAGTGTCCAATGTGTATGTACTAGTACATGCATATGTCCAAATACAGGTCAGTCACAAGACTTGGACACATACTTAAAAAAAAAATAAAAAAACGCAAGTCGTAACAATTTTCCTACCATGCTGTAACTGCAAAAAGAGATTCGAGAAATCTAGGTTCAATCAGTTACGTTATGTGCATACGTCATTAATTGACTAAGAAAATTCTGAATAAATATTATCTCGTAATCACCTCGGAGTATTCAAAAGAAAAAAAAAAGAAATTTGAGACATTCAATAAATCCGCACTTTCACTCCTGCAAATTTGGAAATATACACTGCAATTCATATCTATCCCATATCAATGGGACAGCTATGGTAAACAGTAAGGTAATACTGCATATCTTGATCGCTTGGGAGACTCAAGTTTAATTCCATCATTAACACCATGAAAAACAAAAAGGTTTAAACATTCTCCCGCAAGCTAACATAGTTTATAACTGGATGGTCTCTATTGACTCTCCTACATACATGATTTATAACAATAAAAAACGGATTGGATTGATCTCGGTTAACTTGGATTCCGCTGCATATAAAGAGCATATGATGTCCGAGCCCCGATACTTCCATAAAAAAATGAGGACAACCGCAAATGGCAAGTTCAGGATAGACCAGATCTAAGGGTGATACCTTTCAAGCTTCTGTCGCTTTAGGGGAATTTTCAGGTGTCTTCAGAACAGTAGCAGAGCTACCCTTGTGTGCCATTACAGCAACACGGAAATCGTCGATTATGGAAGCATCCTCGAACTTCAATGCAAATGTAGACAGCCCTTCTTTCTCTTCCCCAGTACTATTCATGCAAGCAAAAGTGATACCTTTCTTGTCCATATTTGTCAGCTTCATATCCGGATAAAGACCTGCATTTAGAATCAATCTATAATTTCCTCTAGCTCTCATGAGCAACCTTGCTCTTTCAGCCCCAGTTGTTGAGACATTCACCTTAAGTTCTCCCTTCCCTCGCTCTTTCCAGCCTCCATCTATAAATTCAAACAGCACAGAATCAGCAGAGAATACAACTTCCTCATTCTCTTCTCCAGTCTCAACCGGAACCTCCTGCAAGGTAGGAAACCCACTTCCCTCACTCTTGGAAACAATTGAAGTCCCTGATGTGTTGAAGAGGGAAGAGTTCCCATTTGCTGAAAGACCGAAGCCGAATGAACCTGTACCACCATCCTTTGTAGTAGATCCAAAGGAAAATGAATAAGTAGAAAATCCAGTGCCAGTGAGTCCTGTAAAGGCATTCTGGCTACTAGAAAGCTGTTGGAATGAACTCAACGATGCACCTTCTGCAGCTGAATCTGCATTTTCACTATTAGCTTTGTTATCAGGATTTGCAGTCTTTTCATCTTTCTTATCTTCATCCTTGGTCTCGACACCTCCAGTCGGTTTTTCATCATTGGCCCCCTTTTGAGTTTCTTCTTTTACAACATCACTGCTCTTATCCTCAGCACTTTCCTTATCAGCAACAGTATCCGAAACTGGCTCATCCTTCTTACTTTCCAACTGCTTAATATTTTCACTTGCATGCTCAGGCCCTGTTTCATCAGTTTTTTTCTCTGACTGATGATTATTTGCGCATTCACTCTTTTCAGATTTGTTAATGTCATTTTCATCAGAAACCTCTTTCTCACTGGAAATTGGTGCAGCGGCCGTAACCTGAGTGGTGGTTGAGCCAGATTCAAGGGCTGCACTAGGTGCAGCAGGAGCAACAGTTTGTCCAGAAGGGGGAACTAAGCAAATCCCAGAAAAAGGATTGGGTGAGGCAGTTGAAGTTTGATTTCTGCAAACTTTGAGTGTTCGTCTGTTTGCCAAAACTTCTTCACTAGCTCTCTTAAATGTTCCAGTCTCTTGTTCAGGAGAACCTTCTTCATCATCAAGCCCAGGGTTATCCCGAGAAATCTCTCTTCCAGCAGCCCTCTTCTTTGAAGGCGGAAGGACATTTTCTGCATCCCCCATTGCAGCAAGGAGCCAATAAACTGAAACTGGAGGATCTTTTTTGTTCAATCTAGGATATCTGGAGATCATTGGAAATGTTACATCCAACGAAATTATCAGAAAACAAATTATAGTTTCTCACTATACCATAAAAGTGGACAGCGAGAGATGCGTAGAATTGGTTGCAAGAACATAGAACATAAGTTCACCTAAAATTATGTGACAGATGCAGATATTTACCAATAAATAGACAACCTATGCCCAGATTTCTGTAAAAATCTCATTAAAACATATGAATGGACCATAGACCATCAATCATAAAATAGAACACTAAGACAATCATATATTCAAAAGAAAATAAACTTTTTTGAGAAAATATCAATATATGAAGAGCACAAAATGGAAATAATCACCAATCAAGTGGAAAAAATATATTCAGCTAACTAACAACATTTTAATAAGCAAATAGGCAAACTATGGGGAAATGCAAGAATACACTAGCTGATTCTGCATCAACCCACTGAATGTTCAGAGCAGCAAAAGTTTAAGTAACGTATATTATACCCTTGTTGATCATATTAGAACAAACAGAAGCATCATTGTGCAGAGACTAAGAACAAAATAATGATTCATAATACACTAACTGCATAATTTGTAAACACCGAGCACACTCATTAAATTTCAACTTTATCAACTCAGCAAATATTGTATGGTTCATCTATAAGGCTGACTGATTACTGCAATAAAAACCAATGCCCTCTCTGCAGGGAAGAACACTCTAGCATAGATACAGGTACGTCTAGTGCAATCTTTCTACAACTTAATCCCAACGAACAAGCAATTTGCCTTCTTAGAACAGTTTGTTACTCATCAGTGACAGCATACGGCAAATTAATCATGATATATGTTTCTATGTAAAGGGACAGGCTTTGTACAACCTAAACTCCATGATGATATCAAATTGCATCTTTCCATTACCGTACAAAGGAAGCTGTCAGCACAGTAAACCCTTAAGCGTGAAAAAGTAATCTTCAAATTAATAGACAAGTCAAGTGCCCAATAAATCTTCAACAAATACCCTTTCTTCAACTTACATTCATATAAAACTAAAACCCATATAAGAAAAAAGAATGAAGCAATCCTTGATTAATTTAATACCCAGTGTCCACCACTTATGAAATTTTATATGCATTTTACTTTGTATTCTTCAGCTTAGAATTAAGAATTACATTTTCCCTCAAGCTACTTATCATCCATAAAAAAAATCCAAAATCTATATAATAAAATGGAAAAGAAAACATGATAATAATCAAAGGGGCATATAAAAAAGAATTAAACAATGAATATTTAAGTTTGAAAGCAGAATTTGGCCAACTAGGCTAGCACTGGTATCAGGACATTCGAAGATATAAAATGAAATCGAACAGGAAAATAAGTAATGGAAGATCCAAAAACAGAACCTAAAAATTCAAAAATGGGAGGGAAAACCCCTTCTCATTATCATATACAAGAAAAACTTTTGGTGGGTTGAAAAAGAGGGGAGAAACTCGAATTTTCGGTGTGCAAAGGCCAAAACTATGGGTTTACCATAAAACAAATGCAACCTTAAGGATAAATTTCCCGGTTTAAACACCAATACTCAATATAAAAATGACACTCTTTCAGCTAAAGCAAAGAAGAGAAAAATTAAAAGGGTTAGCTTCATATATTATCGCTATTTTCTTTCGTTTACAAAAGCTACCAGAACAGGAATCTGACGTTTGAGACGATATGGAATTCAATAATATCGCAAGAATGAAAAAAAAAATACTAGGCAGACCTCATTTCGTAAAGCCAGAAAACGAGAAAATTAAGAAATATACAAAAAGAAGAAAGCAGAAAAAAGGACCAAAAATAAAAGTACAAGAGATTCATGATTTAGATAACAAATAAGAGAAAATGGATTTGCGACTTACAAAAGGAGCAGAAGCTAAACCCTAGTGATAAAGAGAGACGAAGGGAGATTTTTTTTCTTAAATAATTATGAAATGAAATATATAATGATGTTGGATTGGAAATGGCCTCTTCCGTCCCTTCCCCAGAGTTTTTATATTTATTTTGTTCCTTTTTTGTTTTTACATTTTGAAAAAAAAACTTAATAATTTCTCCATTTTATATATCTATATTGATTTACTATTATTAATAGATTTTATCATTTTGTTTTTTATAATCATCGATATTCAGTAGTCGATCTATTGATCGATTAATCCAGATTGAGTATTACAGAGGTAATGACGACCCTCCTAATATAGTTTATTCCATTCGTAATCGTCAAAATTCGAATCGCTGACATTCCTTAAAGGATTTAATATTTTATCCCACCAGACCAACTGTTTGTTGATATTTTATCTTGTTTTAATCTTTCCTTCATTGTTTTTTTATTTACATGAAAAAAATTGTGTTTTACTATATTTATTTTTCTAACCTATCAAGGATAATTTGAATATAAAGTATAAAAATTAATTATTAAATTTTTTAAAGTTATCAAATGAATATTAGTTTTTTTTTTATAAAATAAACATTATATTATTAATTATAATTAATGATATGATATATTAAATCAATAAATGGTATTTTATATTGTCTTTTAAATATAAGTATAATTTTATTTTTGGGGGTCAACAAAATAAAAGTTTTAGCATAAGGTTCACACTTGATAGAAATGATAAGAAATTGTGATACACAAGAGAGCTATACTGATAAATTACTTAAAAGATTTAATATGGGCAGAACTAAAATAGTGAGTATTCTCTTTGCTACACACATCAGATTGAGCGTCAAACATAGTTCTTCCACATAAAATGAGAAGAAATATATATAAAGTTCTTTACTCTTCATTCGTGGGTAATTTGACGTATGCAATGGCATACACGGGATCAAACATGACTTACTTTATTGGTACAGTTAGTTGTTTTTTTAATAATTCATGCATAAGGCATCAGAACGTAGTTACATTGATTATGAGATATCATTGTAACACCTTCAACTTGAAACTTCGATTCAAAAAGCTCACGGATAATTCGAAAAAATAACTCCCTGTGTACAACTTAAATTGTCCTTTATTAACCTTTTCATCAAAAATTTTCAATTTTGAATCATTATCATTTAAATTTTATTATTGATAAAAAAATAAAAATATATATGAAACTTTTAATTAAGTAGTTTTGAAATATATATTTAATAAACTTTATTTTTTTAAATATTTAATATAATAATGGTTAAAGTTTAAAAATTTTGATTTTTAAAAAGTTAATAAAGGACAATTTTTAGTGGCACCGAGGTGGTATATTAAATTTTTTAAAAAATAAATTATTAATATATTAACATTTATGTGTTAATTTTTTTTAAAATGCAATATAATTTTTTTATGTACTTAAGGTTTACATTCGAGTTTGAGTTGGAGTTTCAACCTAGTTAAGTTTAAGATTTTTTTTATTTCAAGTTTTTCCAAACTTCAATACATGATTTCGAGTTCGAGTTGATCTTAAAAATTTTAAACTCACGAGCTTTCGAGCCGAATCAAGCTCTATGTTAAAGTTTTCGAATCAAATCGAGCTCTGCAATACTCGAGCTCGACTCGACTCGTTTACAACTCTACTTGTATATTCCAAAACAATAGTTAAAAAGTAAGATATATAATATATATTAAAAATAATAATCATTTGATATCGGTAATTATATTAAATAATTATCATTAATCGTACAAACCAAAATAATTATGATCTTTATATTAAAATGAGTATTTTTAAATGCTTAATATGAAAAAAAGTGTCTAAACTTTATTTATTTGTTCATTCATCCATATGCTTAAATCTTTTTTTTATCAATATATGTATCTAACATTATAAATATTATTATTTTAAATGTCTACATCGTACACTCAAAACATTAACATCACATGTCTTAAGTTTATAATTTTTTGTAACACCCCAATTTAGGGACTAAATTTTACAAAGAGAAAATCGCCTCAGTGACCAAAAAAAAGTTATAATATACGATTTTAACCAACTTTTTTTGGATTTGCCAAAATGACCAACAAAATCGCAACGCGAAATAAAAATCGCAACGCGATCCCCAGAATCGCAAATCAGTGTCCAAAATCGCAACGCGATTCTTGAAAATCGCAATGCGATAGTCAAATTCGCATTGCGATTTTCCAAAATCGCAACGCGAATATGAAAATCGCAACGCGAACACATAAATCGCAATGCGTATCCGTAAATCGCAACGTGTATCCGTAAATCGCAACGCGTTTCCGTATATCGCAACGCGTATCCGTAAATCGCAACGATAATCCGTAAATCGCAACGAGAATCTGTAAATCGCAACGATAATCCGTAAATCGCAACGAGAATCTGTAAATCACAACACTGAAATTTTGGGTATATAACACTGAAATCATAAACTAAATCCCTAAATCGCAACTCATTCCATCTCCATCTATCACTCTCTCCGGCGACATCCGTTCCTATATCCAACGACATCCTTCCCAATCCGGCAACAGGTTTTAGTTTCGCAGCTCGTCTGTTTAGTAAATTAATTTACAACCATGAAATCATCTAATGTTGATCATGTTTGGATAGATTTGTGTTTTGGAGGGTCATGGGATAATGTTCATGGTGTTTTACAATATATGCCTTTACCCATGAATCTTCAACTAAAATTGTCTTTACAAAAGTTAACTTATGAAACTCTAATGCTACGTGTTTCAAATAAATTGAATTTAGAGCCCCTAAGTGGATTTAGGCTATCTTATCAGAGAAATGGTAAAGTTTATTTGTTAACCGACAATGAAGATGTTGAACGATTCATTGCTTACATTAGGGTTTCACAAGATGATGTTACATTGTATGTTGTTGAACCTAGAAGTAGTATTGTTGGGTCAGTAGCGGGTAGTAATCAACTAAGTTTTTCTCAAAACCCACAACCTTTCTCTAATCCAAATCCCAATCAACTTTCAGCACCAAATTCCGGTTTTCGTATTGACCAGTTAGACGATGATGAGCCAACAGAAAAAATTGTGAGTACTAGTCAGTATTCGAAATTTGGTCTTGGTCAATATCCGGACTTTGATATTGGTCAATACACGGATTTTGATGATGTTTCAGAAGAAGAAACAG